ATTAACAACCTGGGCCTCCAGCAACTGTGCTGTCCACAATCTTTATTTTTATTAGTCTAGTCTAACCATCCTCCTCACACGGGGCACCTTTTACCGCTGGCTGGGGGCTATGTACAAGTCACGAATGGGATGGGACTGCTGTGGAACATGTCTCAAGCTGTTTATTTCTGTTTTGTCTCATTACATGTTTATGACAATGGGAAGATGCCAGCAGCTCACATCCAGGCAACAGACCAAGAACTTAATGTTACAACTTACTTTAAAAGCTTTATGACCAATCACACAAAGCAAAAGCATATTGGCAGTAGTTCTACCCAATCACTATAAGTACAAGTACCTTTGGTTAAAACAATGCTTGCTTATTTCGAATACAATACTTGCTTAAGTATTGTAAGCCTTAAGATACAATGCACAGAGCTCCATTATTAAGCTTAAAACTTCCTAATATCTCACTAGATATCCTTTTCTGCAACTTAGAGAATTATTCTACTCAAGCGTTAATACACAGATCATTGTTCTATTTGTTCTTTCTTTCTACTTCTTGTATAATTTTTCTGCTGACAAATCTTATAGCTACTGCTTAGCTCTAATCCTGCTGTCTCTGAGGCCTGCCTTTTGCAACATACCCAAAACCCTCTGATTTTAAGGAATCCCACATTGTATATTTTGTTTTCACTTAGAAATGCCATTTACAGTTTACTATTATTTTAACTAAAATAAATAGAAAGGACTAAAAATATTTACAAATTCTATTTAGTTAAGAAACATGTAATATAGAAAAGAGTGAAAGAATCCAGAAATTGAAGAGAATACTAGGAAATCTGTTGTATGGAAAGACAGACAAAGAACTGGAAAATATTTACCTCTACAGACTCAAAGATAACTTAATTTACTCCATTCATTACTTGGATGTACATACATTGGATGTCACACCAGAATAGAGCAGCTGAAGTAGAGCATTGTTAGTAATTCTGTTGGAAATCATATGAAAATCAAGGTTGTTGCATATTAACACTGAAATATGCTTTTTAAAGGACTTCAAAGCCTAAGGAATACAATTTTTATCTTGTTAAGGTACAGATTCTGAAGCATGATGATACAATAAATGCTGTCATATGATTTAATTAACACCAATTATAATAGAATCTGTTCAACTTTATTGATTAGTAATGCAGATTTAGTTACACTTCAATCAGAACAATCTTTTAATATGATTGTGTCAAAATTGTGGAGACTTAAGCAGTTCTAACTTCTTTTTGTATGAATCAATTTTTGTGTAATAGGTTTCTTTCTATTTTCTTAATTCTAATTCTTTTTCTTCAAGTTTATTTTAACATACAAGACTTAAAAAAATATCAGTCTGAAAGGCATCAATATAACAATATTTTTGTAACGTTTCTTAGGAAAAGGCAGTGTCATAAAGAAATGAATAATGTAAATTATTACTTGTGTTACAAAAATTAATACCTATTTGTTTAAATTTATTTTATTAACTGCATTATTACATAATAAATATTGAATTGACAACTTCAACATTTATTTTCAAATAATGAATATACTTATTCTCCTTTGCAGCCAAACACTTCTGCTGGCAATTCAGAAGAAAATAAATTAGTGAAGAGGTTTCCTAATCCAACTTTTTTGAAATGTTTCATTGACTTTGGACAATGATTTAGTTATATCAGAACAATAATAAAGTTGAAATGGAGAATTTTATGTCCATTTGTACATATTGCATGTCTAGGAATTTCTTAGTAATAATATTTTCAGATATCTAGATTAATTTAATTATGAGAAACAGATTTTATCTACATAATAAAGGGGTAAGCTTTAGAACAGACCAACAATCAGAATTTTTTGTGTCTACAAATGTCTGAAAAATTGATTTAAAACAATAAACAAAATAATTTTAAAATTAAAATATACCTGTTTCCAGACACTATAATTTAGACATTTTTCAAAGATACACATTATCTATAAGTCAGTTTTTAAGGGACTTTAATAATAGTCTGACTGGCTAAGAAATATTTAAAGTCAATGATAAATATTTATTACTTGACAGAACAGTACAGAATCAGTTGAAAAATAAATTTCAGTTCCCTCATTTTTATTTATCCAGAAAAAGACAAAGCTTTGTTTTCATAAGGAAGTTCATCATCGTGTTCTTTGATATCTGTTGTAGTGTGTTTTCATAGTTTTCTCCTGTTTTCCCCCTATGTGGTTGTTTTAGCCTACGTTATACCCTCCTACCCAGTTGCCTGTCATTCTCAAAGAGCTGCGTCTTCTGGCAGAATGTTCTTTACCCTTCCCTACCATACTGTCAGTCTTTTCTTGAGCCAACCTCCTGCTTGGAATTCGACTTCGGAAATCCCCTAAAACTCAAGGCCCCATTAGCCCCTGTGACCCAAATCCCCCCTCCATTTCCGTCATTGGACGATGCTTTTGTGAACCCTACCTTTTCCTCCTACCCAAGATATTCTCTATTGGTTAATAATTTGTACCCTCCCAGAACCTCCTCCAGTTTTGAGGTGCAGCACTCCTGCCTTTTTTGTCTTTTGCTGCCAAATTCCCCAGAGTAATAAACCCTCTTTGACCCTATGCAAAAGGCCTGCCCTTGTCCTTGCCTCCTCAGAGCACAGACTGACAACCATAAAGGCTGTAGGGTAATTGCTCTAGTCGTACCTTGGGTCATTCTGCTACCAGAGTGTGATCTACTCTTGGCGCAGGCTGGGGTGGAAGAGCTAGTGCAGCTCTGGCTGATGTGTCAGATATACTAAGCTGTTTTTTTATAATTATCCTTGCAAATATTAAAGAATTTATATAGACTTAATTAAAAACAAATTTTAGTTTGTTAGTGTGCTTTGCATTTAAGTGCAGTCCAGGATTAACCTGGTGAGCTACAATTGTGCAAAAATTATCATTCTGCTAACATAATGTTAGCTTAATTCTGTAATCTCAGTTTGGTCTGAACTTGTTTTTTCTAATGGCACCTCTGCTGGCATGAAATAGTAGTCTGCAAGTTAGTGAATCTTTTTCACCTGGTAGTAGCAGTAAACATGATGCTTAAAGATGTGGATTAGTGGTGGAATTGGCATCATGGACTCAATGATCTAAAGACTTCAACATTTCTAACCTAAATGTTTGTGTGATTCTATTCTATGATTCTATGGACACAGCTGCAGTTTGTATCTTGAATGGGTATTTTACTGCATTTTGAATCAAAATATTTATTTTAGGACATAACACACGCATCTTTCGGTTCAATATCCCTTTTCCCTCCTATTTTGTTAAAGTATGTTGGTAGTGTTGTTTGTAACCATACAAAGTCAACTGCATGCATAGTTTCTATCTGAAAATATCTTAATTTAGGAAAATATCAGTTCTCCATTTGATCTCTAAATGTGTTGTTCAGACACTGCACGTGCATGATTTAATTTTTGAAACATAAAAACTTTAAGGTTAGAAAATGACATTTTCCCTTCTTGTCTTGCTTCCTCCCATTAAAACATTATTTCTGACCATCTAGTGGCATTATCAGGTTATAACTAGGAGTATTGAAGAACAGTTCCAGAATAAAAATACATTTATTTATTGAGTATGATACAAATAACTCAGTAGGCCTGAAAGCAGTGTAGCTACAAGATTGAAGATTGTATGCCAGATGTCTCTTAGAGTGCTCTGCAAACATGACTAAAAGTATACTGTATTCTCACAAAACACATCAAAGGAAAGGAAAAATGAAACTCATTAATTGAGGTAATAAAGATTTATGTTCAAGCAGTGAGGTGATGAAAATTAATACCACTGTGCTGAATGGAATGGAACTGTGACAATTGAAATGAATTGAAGATATACCTCAAGTGATTTCTGTGGCTTTAGGAGATTGCTTTTAAATTTGGGGAAATGAAAAATGAAAGGTTGTCCCAGGAGCCAGCACAGATGATCTTTTCCCCATATTGCTCATTCCTTTGCCTCCTTGCATCTTTTTCTGCGTGTGCAGTGAAACAAGACTCATTTTCCTGTCTAGAGACTTCTGTTTCTTTAGGGACTGGGATTAGTCTTTGTTCCAAATCTAAGTCCTAAACTTACCAGACCAAAGGCAAAATTCCAGGTGATAATTTTCTATTTTAAAACTGTAGGATTATAGTAACTTTACTTTTTCCAAACAAATTTATGGTATCTTTAACATATAGAAATAAGGATTAGCAGCCAGCATTATAATGCAGCATGGTAGATGTAGTCCATATTACTAACATTGCACAAATTTTGCTGTTGAATTACAGCATGATGGGCTCGTAAAAAAATAACTTTGCTGTTAGTCATTCCCTCCATATCAAGCAGTGAATATACTTCTGCTCAAGCTATGCCATTGAGTCTCTGACATCTGAACCTGTTATTGGGAAAAAGCAAAATTATATAAAACAAAACAAAAAAAAGTAAAACAATACAAAAATTGGGCAGGAAAATATTTCCACTTAAAGCTCATTAAGTATGCTATGTAATAGAGATATATGTAAATTTCATGTTAGGTCTATGTATTTTTTTTCACAGTAAGAAGCAACTTTCCAAGCGTTACAGAGAAAACAACTATTTCAGGCATAGATAAAGGATAAGCTCAGTGATTAATAGGTAGCTAAACACATACAATTTGTTTTTCCTAAGAATAACTCATCTGTTTTCAGTTGTCTTTTCTAGAGCAAAGTTACCTGAAGAAACAAAGTAATTTAAGAGTGTTGTCTGTTGCTTCTTAAATATTTGAGAGTAATTTACTAAGAAGTCTTCATGCTTAAGTTCAATGTACTCAATAAAATTGCACCTGTAAAAAACCTTAATTACTTACTTAAGTCTTACTTAAGTCTGCATAAACAGTGCAGTGGGATTGGCTTAGTATTTTAAAAATAAATGGGCAACAGATTTCTTTCACTGAAACTCAGTTTACAGTAACCAGTAGTTATGATTACAATGAAAATATACCGAGGACAAAGAATTTTTTAACTTACTCTTCTCCAAGGCACATCCTGTTGTTTTGTCTCAGGATAGAGATCTAAAAAAGATTAAGAAATATTTGATATTACTAGTAGTAATAGTCACTGTCAAATACCATGATTTCCTTTATACATATATTTTTATTTGTTGACAGGTGTAGTCAGAAAGAATTAAGATTTTGCAACACCTCATACATACATTAAGGAAAAATAAGCAAATGAAAACATAGATACACTCCTGCAGTTTTATTTTTCCTTCTATTAAATATGCGTCTGAAATTTCCTATGGGTCTCATTATCATAGAATCACAGATTGGTTTGGGTTGGCAGTCACCATAAAGATCTTTTAGTTCAAACTCCTCCACCATGGACAGGGTCACCTTCTGCCAGACCAGGTTGCTCAGATCCTGATCCAGCCTGGACTTGAATTCTGTAAGGGATGGGGCAGCCACAACTCCTCTGGGCAAATTGTTCCAGTGCCTCACCACTCTTATAGAGAATTAAATTCTGCAAAGAATTTAATTTTTTATCATATCAGAGTGCATTTTAATTGCAATTTTCATAATTGAATTTTTAAATTATCTCATAAATGAAAGTCTACAATTATCCAGAATTCAGTATTTGTATTATGGGTCACAATTTCCAAATATATACCTTTGTAGTTCTTGAAACATATTTTCAGGCTTGAATTAGTTTGCAGATATAGTGAAAAACAATTAAATTAACTGATTTTCAGCCTGTATAAGCCATTATACTTATTATATATAATATATAAACCATTATACATAAATATTATATATTTTTTAAGCATTTGGGGATTTTTATTATCTATTTTTGGTTAAGTAGGACTCAAGTAATATTAATTAGATAACAATAATTGAGATAGTATTCCTCCTAGTGTTCCTCCATCTGAGTCCTTGATGTTGTTGCAACAAAAAACTAATCTGTAGAATTTTGGTACACTATTGCATAATTTTGAAATATTCATAATAAAGGATGAAAGCTTAACCAGATTGATCTGAAAATTGACATTATATTAGCCAGGGATTTGACTGCATGTAATAATTATACTAACATTTCTAATGTGTATATCTTAAGATATTAGTTTTTTGAAGAGGGAAAAGTTAAAAAGCCCTATTCCTCAATTTTTCCAACCAATTTTTCTGTCAGTATTCACCCCTAGAATATGCACCTCTAGTATAAAAGCTGTATAGGCAATGTTCATGTAAGTATTCAAAATGCTTCTGTTCAGAAAAAACTTACGGTGGTTACAAGTATAAAGGGCTGTAAGGTTTAAGAATAACAACATGGTTTACTGATAAAGCATGGTTTATTGATAAATATCTATAATGGAGGACATAAGAAAGAGTACATCATATTTTGGAAGAATTCCTTAATTTTTCTTTAGGGGGAGAGCATATCCTTGAAGTGAAAGGAAAGGTTACTGAATTATTTAGATTCAGAAGTGCATTTGTTTTAAATTAAACATCAGTGAAAACAAGTATGTCTATTTCAAAGTGTGTAATTCATAACATCTGAAAATCCCCACATTTGTAACCAGCAAGAGTTTCTTTCACATGGCAAATTCCTAACTTCAGGATGTCATTCTCAAGCTAAAAATATGCAACAATACCAAATAGTTATTCGTCAAAGAAAACCAGTTGCATCCTGCAATGGCTCATCACCAAGGTGAAGTATATTTTGCTGCCAAGTCACATGTTTCTTTGTGAAACAGGTACTTCCTTCTGCCATCCTTCCTCATCCACTCCTCAAAGTACCAATTTTCCTCTTGTGTTCCTTTATCACTTAAAATCAGAGGTAGTGGGCAACAGTCTTTCCAGACTTAGTCACTGGCTTCCAGTAACAGTTCAACCTTCTATACCATGTGTCAGTTTCCCTAGATCTGAAGATGGTTTATGTTTTGTGTGAAAGACTAATGTTTATAAAAAAATATAAAATAAATAATTAGTGTTAAGAAAACTGCCAGGAATTGAAGAAAAAAAAAAGGCTATGCACTGAACCTAAACAGACATCAAGGATGTATTTTGAGATTTTATTAATCTGTTCAGAACACAAATAGGTTTCTTGGACAGTGATATTTGGCCACTGTGAATTAATTCCTTCTTCTCTTATTTACATTAGTATCAATTGAAAATAAGGACACTGAAGTTTATACGGTACAATTATAAACTGTGAATGAAGACAATGTTGGGATGTCAACCTTCTTAATACCTCAACAGATGAGAACCTTACTTCTGACTTCACTTGATAAAGCCTTAGACTGTGAATGAGCTACTTCATATTCCTGCTCCTTTCATGTTGTCTGAGACAAAAAACCACAAAACACAGAAGGGCAGAGCAGTTTTGTTCTTTAAAAAGCTATCAGTATTTTGGGTGATTACAATTTTTTTGTAAGAATTTTCTTTGAATAGCACATTTTTCATCTTCTGAACTCCAAGGCTTGGTACTTTCTCACTGTATGTCCATGATGTATTTCATGTAGAAAAGGGGAAAAAACCCTCTTCTGGACAGTATATTGCTGTACTCAGGAATTTTTTCTGGTTTTGTTGTTTTTGTTTTTTGTTTTGTTTGTTTGTTTGTTAATATATTTTCTTGATTATGTTATTAAGGATGCCTAAGCCCTAAGACTTGTGAAAGGCATTTCAGTATGTTGAATTTAGGTGTAGATTTACCAAAACCCTTGATCATCTAAATGTGATTTCTAAAGGGACCTAGAGGTTATCTGTTCAGGTGCTTTTCCAAGAAGCTAACTACTTCAAAAATTCAGTCTGTAAGTCTTATCTCAGAGTTTAAAATTAAAGAGGTGATGCAACACCTAGACAGATGCACGAACAGTTATTCTGAGATTATTATGGAGGCATCTTGATCAAAAGTATTTGATCCTTTTGGGACTGGGACTGAGGGGAGACATAGGGTATCTGCTATTGCAACTATGATGATGTATATGTGAATATTACTCCTATGGTTATAAAACCAATGCATAAATAATAACTTTATTTACAGAATGGTATGATAAAAGTTGCAGCGGGAGGCCTTTATTCTGACTCTGACTGTTGTGCCAATCCTAAAGAGTTAGTCAGTCGTATGAAATATTTGCTATTTGAGACAAAGAGGAAATAAACAGTGGTAAAATGGGAAAAAAAAAATCTATCAAAATTAAACCTCTCTTGAAAATACATTCAATTATTGTCAAAAGACTTGAAGTATTTAATATTTAATGTACAAATATTTGATTTATATTGCTTTGTTGGAAATTTCCAGCTAAGAAATGTGTGGTAGTTAATTTTCTTGATCTCCATCTAGAATTTTCTCTGCAAAGGCCAGCCAATTAGGGAATACCTAATTGCTTGCAACATCTTGTCAATTATAGGCAAATAGACACATTGGAAAAGCAAGAGGATTCAGAATGGGGAAAGCAAACTAAAGGATTATTTTTGTACCAAGATCTTTCTATATGGGAAGAAGTAAGTGATATTTTTTATAAGCTATTGCTAAATAGAAATATGAATTATGCTATTTCAGCATAAATTTAGACATGTGCTCCTTAAATATGATATTAGTGCAGTGGTGAGTAAGCCTGCTAGAGAATGCAGTTAGGGCCCAAATCACTGAGATTATGCCCTTTTTGTTTGTGAAGAGTTCTTTTACCATAAGGAAGCAAAAAATTTAAGCAACAGTGAATCTGCATGCTCATGCTGTACTTTACTACAATTCTGCTCTTATACATATGATACAGAGGTATTAATCGTTATACTGATAATGACTCAATAAATGCAGTAACTCTTCATCGTATACATTATACAACATACTTTGTGAAAGTGCTTTTTAACATTATTCTTTCAAAATCCCTGAAGGACTCTATTACTGCCAAAAATAGTAGTTATAGTGATGTTTTAATCAGCTAAACAGCTAATTCTATCTAGCACATCCTAATCAGATCTGTCGCTATCTCAAACCCTTTGAGCCTCACTTTGGGTGCTGAAAAAGGACTGTCATAGTTTAACCCCAGTCAACAGCTAAGCCCCACATAGCCACTTGCTCAATCCCCTACCAATGGGGAGAGAACCTGAAAAGTAAAAGGTAGGTAAGCAGGGAAACAAAAAAGTTGTGCACACAAGCAAAGCAAAACAAGGAATTAATTCACAGCTACCCATGGGCATGCAGGTGTTCAGTTATCTCCAGGAGAACAGGGTCCATCATGTGCAGAATTACTTGGAAAGACAAATATCATCTTTCCAAATATTCCACTCTCCCTCCTTCTTCCGCCCGCTTTATATACTGGCATGGTGCCACAGGGTCTGGAATATCCCTTTGATCAGCAGTGGTCACCTGTCCCAGTTGTGTCTCTTCCCACCCTCCCAAGAACCCCCAGTATCCTCACCAGTGTGGCAATAAAAGAGGCAGAAATGTTTTAATTCTGTGCAAGTCCTGCTCAGCAAACAACAAAAAGATCTTTATATTATCAACCCTGCATTCAGCACAATTCAAAACCAGCCAATTGTAGCCATAATCATACCATATTATCAGACAGTAGCTCTGATTTCAACATGTCACATCACTATATTATTATATGGATGGGAAGATAATATTAATCTTTGATTTCTGCTTAATTTTTATCAGAGAAAATGTTTTCTGTGCAATATATGTAGCATTGAATAACATGGAAGCATTATTTCTACAGATATCTCATTAATATTTATGCATCTGCTTTATAATTTTTTTCTCTATTACACTTATTTTATGCTTTTCCTTATGCAAATCTGCTGTGTAGGCACAACAAAAATATGTGCAGCATGCTCAGACAGCACTGTTCATCCAATAGGCAAATTAAAGCTATGTGATTTGCTGTCCCAGATTGAAAAAAGCAAGATGTACTATATTTGCCATCTGTATGGCAGTTGTTTCGTGATAAGTGGGCAGTTGTTGCTTATCTTTTCCACAATCAATTCTCCCTCCAGGGAGACAACTACTGATAAGGGGCCACTGAAAGTCACTGCATGACTGGTAAGAACATCCACTGTGAGATGCTCTGCCCAGA